CACATGCCTGGGTTGTGGTCCAGGTCCCTGGTAGGTGACATGTAAGAGTCAACTACACATTGATGTTTATCTCCCTCTCTCTCTCTTCCCCTCTCTAAATTTTTTTTTAAATGAAACCTTGAAAACAATCCAGCAACGACAAAAAAGAGTTCTATCTAGAGTTCTCTTCAGGAAGTATTTTTTGTATTGTTTTGGCTTTACAAAGAAATTACTAAGCTTTGTGGGGGTTACCTACAGTGCACAGTGAAACTGCCAATTCAGACTGTTTGAGTCCCACCCTCCACGTTCAGAGGTCTTATGTAAAAACAATTTCATTTTCATTTTGCTTTCTGGGAACCCCTCCAAGGGACAGTGAATTGCCAGTTTTTTGTGACCTTCAGTTTTTTAACTGCTCTCATGGGAAACTTGACCTTGGAACTGTAGAGAGAAGGTGAACAATTTTCAGTTTGGTGAGGGACAGGAGCACAAGTCCTTTTCTTTCTGTGTGCTCATAGTCCAGAGTCTATGGGTTCTCCTGTACCTCCGAGTTCACAGAAATGAGGAAAAAATGTGCAATGCAGGTGCACACTAACCCCAAAGTAAGGATGCAAACAACAAGGATGTCATATGGGATGGAGATTCAGGCAGCCAGCCAGGAATGGCTCCCAGTGAAGCATTAGGAGTGAGAAACGCTTAGTGCCCTCTAGGTGCACAGCTGATGCAGGGCTCAGTGCTCCTCAGAGCATGTTAGGACTGAGATGGAATTCACAGGCACCAAAATTGCCCCTGTAACTTCAGTCAGTTTCTGTAAGGATTGGGCCACACCCATGATGGATTCCCAATCTGTGAGAGAACTTCCTTAGGTGTCCTACAGTTTGGTGACTGGTTGGTCCACGAGACCTCTGTTTGGTTATAGAGTTAACCAAGAGAGCGTTCGTGTCTATCAGGGTGCTGCAGGGGTCTCTTTAATGCCAACCCGTGCATCCTGTCCCACAGGCATGCGACATAGCAGAGAAGAGTGGTTTCTTATTTTTCTTGCAGCAAGAATTCCTTCAATATCTTACTTAGCTCATGGGAATGTGGGCTTGAAAGACTTTTATCTTTAAAGCAGATTTTATTAAGTAGCTATTAGTGTCTTCATTTTCATTACTCAATGAAAATGGTCAGAGTAACAACATCACTCACGTTACCCACAAATCCCATTACCTATGGGACTTGCTGGCTGAGTGATGTTGAGAAGGGTGCTCATCTTGATGGCGTCTCAGGTTCCTTATCTGAAAAGATACCATCTGAAAACGACACTCCCCTTACAGGGTTGCTAGAAAGGTTAAATAAAACCATATGGGAATGTTTTGGCCTTGTTAGCTTTCTCAGAGACAGAAATTTGACAGCAAAAATAAACTTGTGAAAAATCCTGGCAAAATATATATTTGTTTCTATGTTACATTAAAATCAAATAAACAAATAAAACAATGTCTATAAACCAGAAGGTAAGAATAATTTTCCCTCACAGCTTCAGAAAAAGATCAAATTGCTGACCTATGAGTAATTGTTACTGTGTGAATGTGTGTGCGTAGTATGCTTGTGTGTATGTGTGTTTTGTGGTAACTTTCCTGGATGAGACAAAAATTACTGTGAAGCTAAGTTTTATGTTTGTACAGGATCAAGAACACCTGCAGAGGAGGTAATAAATATATACTTTAGGACCCACACAAATAATCTAGAAAGCACTCCTTACCCTTTTTCACTTAGAATACAAACAGCATAGATAGTGCTGGTTGGTAATTTTTCCCAGAACAGAGTGCTAAAGAATGTGAGCTTTGGAGTCCAAAAGACTCCAAGTCAAATTTCACCTCATCTTCCCAGTGCTGTGGTTTGGACAGTGGCATAAAATTGATCTAGGAGTTAAATGAAAAAATGTAGGTGAAAAGGCAGTAGCTCCTTTTCTGGTCATAACAAATACTGGATAAAGGTAAAATGTTGTTATGAGCCCTTGTATTTCAGCTTCATTTTTTCCTCTTTATGCTAAAAAGGACAGCATGTGCATAAAGTTCACGCAGGGTCAGCAGCTTAGAAAAAGGGACTCAGTGCACTTGGTGGTGATGCAATCCTTGTCCGTAATGCCTTCGCTATCATACTCTTAGGTATGTGTGAGGCAGGTCAGTAAAAAAAAAAAAGAAACCATTTGTTCAGAAATCTTTAGCCAACTACATTTCACATGGTACTTCTTTATCTTGATTTTGTGAATGCTCAGGAATTGTGACTGCTTTGAAATTTCTGCCAGGCAGCTAATGGGATTGGATCGAGAGGGAAACTGGGGTTGGGGAGCAGAGGAAGGCTTGTTTCTGCACATTACTCATTTACCTCTTAGATGACACCAACAAGCTGTCTGGACTCTAAGCTAACATGGGTCTGGTTGGGTTTCAGGTACTAGAAACTATGATACAATAGTATGTTGATGTCTCCTTTTGCCTTTTGCCTTCTTCTGCTCAAGTCCCTTGGATTTAGAGGAGTGTATATTAGCTTAGGTGAAAGGAAATAGCAATTGAATTCTTTAGTTCCCAGGTAAGGCCTGGGATGGTGTCATTTCTTTTCCTGGAAGCAGTTCAGATGTTCATTGTACTTTAGTTGGGCTCAGAGATTTGAGTCTCTGGAATATAAGGAGGTAGAGATCTAGCCTGAAAACTGCCTGGGTTTACTTAGAAAATACGCCCGATTATTAGGTAGACTCCAGTGACCGCCAGCCCTAGGAACACTCTCTGTTGTCCCCCGTCTGTTCCTCCCCCTGCCTGCTCTCAAAGAAGGTCAAGTCTAGTGCAATGCTGATCTTTCTGTGATAGCGGCACCCAGCTGGTCTGGGCATGACACATCCAAGGGTATGGCACATACCTAAGAGTATGATAGCAAAGGCATTAGGAACAGGGATTGCATCACCAAGTGCACTGAGTCCCTTTTTCTAAGCTGCTGACCCTGCGTGAACTTCATGCACATGCTGTCCTTTTCAGAATAAAGGTGAAAAAATGAAGCTGAAATACAAGGAGGGCTCATAACAACATTTTACCTTTACCCAGTGCTCAGGTATGGCCCATCCAAGGGCCAAGATGAGAACCTCTGACTTTGTTAGTCGGCCTCACTTTCCTCAGTGAACCCCCATCCCAATTTATGCTTCTTCATGCGCTCACCTCCACGACTGCCTGGGAACAGCAGCAGACTGAGCGTGAGGCAGGGCTGAGGAGAGTCCCGGTGCAGCCTCCGACTAACTGCAAACTTGGGCAAATTAATTAACTTGTAGTTTCTAACTTCCTAATATGTAAAAGGAAGAATATCTATCTAGTCTAGTCACACTCAAGTATAATCTTCCTCCTCTCTCACTTAATATCCAATTTTCATGAAATGGGTAGAAAGACTGAACGTACTCTCCGAGGTCACCAGTGTTTTGGTCTTGAGCCAGATGCTGCAGAGAAAGAACTGGTAAGACCCGAGTGTCTGTCCCCAGGGGGCCTGAAATATTGCATGAGACTCTGGCCAATGTATCTGAATGTCCTGACACCCTTTCCCCTCTTCAACACCACCTCCATCACTTGCATTATCTACAGACATTCTCTGGAAACCGGCCAGAGAGGACTTCGTGTCTTCACAGAAATCTACCAGTTTTCCATAACCCTCCACCACATTCCTGGAGTTAGCTGCAGACTCAACATCTTACCCGGCGTTCGTGCCTTTGCCACACTGTGTGCTGGCCTCAGCTCACCTCTAGTTAACTGCCTGAGCCACGTAAAAATTCCAGCCACAAACCTCACCAAAGGGGATTCACTTCAGTTTTATAAATGATTGACTAAATTAGTGCCAATCATTACCTCGTCTAATACATGGGCCAAGCCCTTCCCGGAAGAGAATTCAGAAAAAGAGGACTTCCCTATCGCCAGGCTTCTAGTAATTAAAAGAGCCAGAAATGATTGCACAGACCTGACAAGCAGATACGGTGACAATATGACAACATTTCTAGAAAAGTTATATTCAGATCTAAAGAAGAGTGGATAATGTTCATTAAAAATAATGTATTTCCAGACTGCGTAGGCTGGAAGGAAAAACTCATGTTTTTTGATAATTACTTAATAATCTTTTCCTCCTCAAAAATCACTTAATAGCTTTTCCTATAGTTCGTTTATTCCTTTTCTATAGCCCCCCACTGGTAGAGAGAGCTCCTCCAAAGCCACAGGCTCTTATGTCCCAGGTGATACGAGGTATCCAGTTGTTTGTTTATTGTGGAGATGGGAGGATTCCTGTGGCATTCACTACTCCTCAGATAAAACTTCACTCTGCGCAGAACAGAATATGGGCTAGAGCGTCAGAGAAGGGTGTCTGCTATGTTGCCTCGTGTCCATTCTATAGAGAGACTCAGTCAGGCACGGGCTTCAGTGGTTCTGCATCAAGGGGAGGAAAACAGCCCTGAGTCAGTAAATGATTGACCTGCTGCCCGGGCTGATAAGCTTGGGTAAACAGGCTTGATTTTGCTCCAGCAGCTTCAAGACTTTTAACTCCCTAGGTTCCAAAGGGGAAAAATGCATAGGCCTGCCTGAGGGATCCTATCATTTTAAGCTGACAGCCCTCTGTGGAGTGTCCCTCAGAAATATATGTAAACTGTCCTCTTTGGTATATCTTGAGAGAGGAAAGAATTCATACAAGCAAAATTCTGGAACAAAGCCACGTTCTGCAGAACCCAGATGATAGAAAAATTTAAATAAATCACAAATATAATTTTTATAATGAAAGATAAAATACTCTGCAAGCTTTTGAACAGTTTTGTAGAACAACAATTGTCAAAGATGAGACATGGAAGAAAAATAGAGCCCACTTCCAGGACATGCTGTTGGACAAATGACTGAATTCTCCCTACACAGCCACATCTAACACATTCATTCCCTCGGTAGACCGTTGTTGGACACTCTGGCTACAAGGCCAGGAAAAATGCTTGTTTTCTGATCATGGGAGAAGGGCCTGTGACCAGACAGATCACCTACCTTGATTGCTGAATTCAGCTGAAAGTCTTCTCTCAGCTTCCTTCTTGACTTAGTAGTGATACCCCAGGACTATTCCAGTCCTTGCTGAAGAGTTTGGGACGTTGGGAAGAAGCATCCACACTGGGCTTCTACTTTTCTCCAAAATTTTCCACAAAATTGAGGTGTTCTCCTCTGTTTTCTTTCCTGCTTTCTCTGGCTCTGGCAGACAGTGGTCACGGGCAGTGACTTGCTTGCAGCCAGGTATGTTGACAGATGTGAAGGAGGGAGCCTGCGCTGGTCTCAGCTGCCTGGTCTGGCCAATCATCGCACAGCAGGTCAGGCCCTCAGTCTTGCTCAAATCTGACCAGAGAGCTTGGTGACAAAAATAGAGAGCAGAACCAAGGGAGGCAGAGAGCAGGGTCTCTTAGCCACTGACTAACCAGAAAATAAATTTCCTTGCAGTTGGGTCTGTGATGTAGGTAAGTATACAGGACTAAATTCCCTTTCATTTTATTCCTTTCGATTTCAGCACTCTCAGAAGGGGATTTGGAGGCGACTTTATCAAACCTCACTTTTTGTAACAAGGTTTCTTCTATTGGATTCCTGTCTGGCGAGAATCACCTGAAGTTCCTTGAACAACTACGGCTGCCATTTTTTGTGAGTGCATTATATATGTTAGGCATCTTATTTGTATTATCATGAATTTTCATAATAACATCCATTTTATGGATCAGGGAGCAGAGGCTTAAAGGGATAATGGTCATGCAACTAGGCGCTAAAGCTAGGATTCAAGCTCAAGTCTGCTCAGAAATCAGTACCAGTATGGGATGATTTTTCCATGATTTACTCTGTGGTAGGCTGAATAAAAGCCCCCAAAGATGTCCATGTCCTAATCCCCAGAACATGAGAATATGTTACCTTACACGGTAAAAGATAGTGTAATGTGATGAAGTGAAGGCTTTTGAGATGGGAGACTACCCTGAACTGTTCAGGTGGGCCCAGTGGATCCTGGATGTCCTCTTAAGAGATTAGAATCAAAGATGATGTGATGGGAGAGGCCGAGTCAGAGGGAGGCGGGAGATGCTACGCTGTTTTACGCTGCGCTGCTTTAAGGGTGGAGGAAAGGGCTGCAAGCCAGGGAAGGTGGCTTCTGGAAGCTGAAAATGCATGGAAATGGACCTTCCTCCAGAGGTTCTGGAAGAAACCCAGCTCTGCAGGCCCAGTTTAGACTTCTGGAAAGGTAATACACGCGTGTTATTGTAAGCCACAGAATTTGTGATAATTTGTTGTATCTGCAATAGCAAACTGATAATACACCCACTGGCAGAAACACTCTTCATGGTGAGCTCACTCTCTCACATCTATTTTATGTAGGAACACGCTTTATTCAGCCAAGCTCTCCATTCTTATAATGGCAGCTCATGGGTTCCAGCTTTTCCCTGCCCATTGGGCACTCAGGGGTCCGGAAATGATGGGAAAGGACGCTGGGAAGGGACTCAGAGCCCAGACTCTATTCCCAGCTCTGCATTGGACAGTCAGTCTGGCTTTCAGTTTTCTCTCCTGTGACGTTAGTGCCGGGCAAATGTACTTTGGCCCCTACCTCATCTAAAATCATAAGAATCTAAAACCTCAGTTATATAACAATTTGAAAACATTTGAAAATACTCCTGCCACTTCGCTCTCTTTCTTTTCCAAGCTCAATCTCCCAAGTTTCTCATGTGATGTAAGTTCTGGACCCTTCACGCTCCTAGTTGCCCTTCCGTAAGAAGGCGCCGGGCACCCACTTCCTCTGAGGCGTGTACTCAGATCTGCACGCAGGGCTGAGACACCTGCCCCCATCTGCCAGGTGCCTGGTTTCTTGGGCTCTGCCACCACCCTCTCCTGCTTGAGCCCTTCTCATGATCCCTTAGGATTTGGCTTAGGTAGTTCCTTTTTATCTTATTCTATCCAACCTTGCTTCTTAAATAAGGACATCTATAGTCAATAAATAAATGTCTTAACTTATTGTTTTTAACAGGAAGGACTGCAGCTTTCTAGTGCTGATTAGTCCTCTCTGCTCACTTACCAACATGTACATGATCATTCTCACAGGCACTTGAAAAGCAGTGGTTTACAATTTTTTAAGATCATAGATTTCTTTAAGAATCTGATGAAAGTTCTGAAGCCTCTTCCAGAAAAAAAAAGTGTACATATATCTAAAATTTTGTGTGTCATTTCAGGGCATTCTGGCCTCCTAAAGTAGTCCACTAACCCCTCTGTTGTGCGGCAAATTAGTTCTATGCCCACAAGTTGTTGGTGAGAGCAGCTTTGGCAAAGGCAAGCCAACATCTTCTTTCAGATCTCCTTGTAATTCATGGAAGCCTATGGATGGGACTCTCTGAGCCTGGATTGGGCTAATACCCAGTGAGGGTCCGGGCAGGAAAGTCTTTAGGCTAAAAAGCAGAGAAGTTCTCAGGTTCAACAAAGAATACCTTTCAGTGGCCTCCTTTTGCAACAAGAGCTCTACTCCTTAGAGGTTTTCTCCATGGAATAAACCCTGTGCTTTGGACACTAGGACCCTTTAGATTAAAGCCATCTGCTTGCCTAGGGCTTCTCAAAATCACGTGATGCCACCAGACAGAGGCTGACACTTGTGTCCCGCTTCCCCACCCATGCTGTCCCAAAACACTGCCCAGCTGTGCAAACACCCTGGTCTGACCAGCACTTTTGTGTTACTGGCGCTGGTCCAGGCCATCCTGGGCGAGGCCTGAGGCACGCAGGCTTTGGCCATGGTCCCTCCCTGTGCCCTCCCATCCTCTCCGAGAAGGAACGTTTTTAAGTCTTAAAAATCATAACACTCCTCTGGTCATAGTGAGCAGATTTGTAGAGGTGCAAACAAAGAGGCATACTGCTGAGTAAGAAGAATGAATTCCTTTGGGGGAAAAAAAAAAACACCACGACAAAAATCCATGATATTCAGGCGCCTTCACCTCAGGGATTCACAGGAAAGCCATCGCTTTCCAAGCTCAGAAATGGGGTTTGCTCTCTGCATTCCACGTGAACCCGGGAGCGGTCTGTGCGACTGAGGGATGCCGCAGCTCTCTCCCGCTGCGCTGTTTAAGCTGCAGCTCAGGACAAGGTCAGGAGAGGATGATCTGAGTGTGGACTTCCGCAGGAAACGTGAAGAAAGTTCCGTTAGGAAAAAATGCAATACAAAGTGATAATAAATGTTAGCTGGAAACTATTGTCTTTTCTGTATTTGCTAGATAAACAAGGGCTAGAGAGGTTTCATCACTGGGCGAAGACACACCTTTTGTGTAATCAGAATGGGTGAGTGGTTAACGGTATTAATGTTATTCAAGGATCTGGCCATCTTCGGCCCCACACTACCACGCGTACCACCTGTGGCACGAGTTGCACTCTCTGAGCAGTGTGTGTCTGGTCCAGTGATTTTTCAACTTTCCCTTTCACTGTCTGAACTGATCTGCTTTGTCTTACATTACTGAAATTAATGTTTGCTAAATCCTTCACTGCTAACCACAGTCAGCCGTGTGGAAGGGTTGTGCTGGGTGCTATTTGGAGGCGAAGGGTGCACAGTTCCCACCCGTACTATTAAGATGAATAGTTACTCTTGAGTATTTATATGGCCAATAATAAAATGTGCAGACAAACAAAGGAGAAGTGTCTGCTCAAGTTTCGTATTTATTACTAGATTTAAGCTTATTTAGGTAGTTCAAATCAAATACAAGAAAAGACATCATATCATCATATCTATTGAACTTTTTCACAGTTAAAATGAGGTAATCTGGCATTATTAAACTTCAGTTTGAATTAAGCAGTATGACTCAGGTCACAAGACAGAAATAGAGAGATATATTTGAATCATTATTTCCTAGAGGAAGGAAGCCAAGTAAAATGTACACGAATACGATAATTATGCCACCAAATACATTTCAGCATATCAAGTGGCATATATGTAAAAATTGAATTCTAACCTTAAAATTGGTATAATTTACTATTATTTTACTGAATGTAGCAAACAGCATGCATTGGAATATAAAACAAGCAAAGAGGACAAAATATAATATCTAACAGAGCGTTTTCAGATTCACACACCCTCCAAATTTACCAAGACATATTTTCACTATGACACTCTGTATGCAGTAGTCCAACCTCACTCAAGGTTTTGCTTTTCATGGTTTCAGTCATCCATGGTCAACAACAGTCGAAAAAAATGTCAGATTCCAGAAATAAACAATTGATAAGTTTTAAATCGTGCAGTTCTGAGTAGCACAATGAAATCTCGAGCCGCGCTGCTCCATCCAGCCCCGGACGACTCCTCCCTTTGCCCAGGGTCTCCGCGCTGCATACACACTGCCTGCCCAGGACTCATGTAGCAGCTTTCCAGGTTCTCAGATTGACTGTCGCAGCACCGCAGTGCTTGTGTTCGGGGCACCCTTATTTTAGTAAATAATGGCCCCAAAGTGCAAGAGTAGTCATGCTGGCAATTCAGATACGCCAAAGGGAAGCCATAAAGTGCTTTCTTTAGGTGAAAAGGTATGTGCATATAGGAAAAAACATAGCATATATAGGGTTCATTATTGTTACTATCCACAGTTTGAGGCATCCACTGGGGGATCTTGCAACATATCCTCTGCAGATGAGAGGGGACTACTGTATTTTTAAAATGCTAATCAGTGAAGTATTACAGTTGGCATGTACACTATATTTATGCATATACAATATAACAATGCATACACAGTCTGTATGTAATTAGTATTAACTGGGGTATACTAATTAACTGGGGTATAAATTAGTAAGTATAATAGCAGCAAAATACCACTGCCTCTAGAATATGACTAAGATTTATCATGTTGCTATTATAGATTCATGACTAAGTGTTATTAGTGCTATAAACTAATAACAAATGTAAAACTGCAAATGTCCAAAGCTATCAAAGGCCTATTTGACTTTTCAAAGTGCTGTGCTTCTGGTTGGGCTCAAAGGTTATGCCAAGCCCCTGATATGTGACTGAAGTACTGGCCCCGAGTTCTGGGCTCCGATCAGGTATAGTTCTAGTGGTTGGGTGGGGGTGGGGAGGGGCGCCGAATCATGCATTTGAGAAGAGTAAGGAGCAAAGACCACTCTGAAAAGAGCGTGTTTAGTCATCATTGAATGTATGTGCCTTTTACTGGAAGTTCTGTCAGCGTCCTGTAATCAACAGTCCTCAGCAGATGACAAAGGATGGCCAGGAGACAAGAGGAGAAAGTGGTATTCTCTGAAGGAGATGAGAAGGAACGAGAT